GGAAGTTGCTCTGAGCGTCCAGAACTTCCTGGATGTGTTGGACCCAGATTTGCTTGATGTCGACGTTGGCCGCCTGCAGCGTGAAACGCTCAGATGAGCCGCGACATGACAAGACGAACTTGCAGGGGTCGTTGTCCACACTTTCCTCCAGACCCAGGAACGACACCTGAGGAGGAGAGGAGGAGAGGAGAGGAGGAGAGGAGAGGAGGAGAGGAGCAGCCTCGGGTGATGAACGTTTATAGATTCATAGAACATAATAACTCAAATTATGACTCATACACTACAACTATCAGTTATGACTCGTGGACGGTGACCCTCTGTTCACCTTGATGCTCTTCTTGAACTGGTATCTCTGCGTGGACGAGCCTTTCCTGAGCAGCTCGCTGAAGATGACGATCTGCTCGAAGAGGAAAACTCGTCGTTCTTTGGAGCGCGACAGGACGCCGGCGTCCTGCTCCGTCACGAAGAAGGTTTCCTGCTGCAGCAGTTTGCCCTGACTGATCAGTTTACCCTGTGGGGAGACGTGGTCGAGGTCAGCGACTCGTTCGGACCTGATGAAGTTTCACGGTTGTTTGCAAACAGATCAGATGAACAAACCTCGTATCCCTGCAGCCGACCCAGATTCATCATGTCATTACACAGTTTAGGGACCTGAGACATTAAATCTACTGCTTTCTGTGAGACACAAAGAGATTCACGTCAGTGTCCGTCACATCGACAGAACGGATATTTCGGATCCATAAATACAAACGTGCTTTCACCTCAATTTGCTCACAGTCGATTCCTGCCTTTAGACTGTACTTCAGGAAGTCCTGAGAAGAAAACGTTTAACACAAATTAAACTCAGTTCACGATAGTTTCAATACATCATCTCACCCTGAAGGTCACACAGACGAGACAATAACATTTCACTTAGATGTATTTATAAAAAAGTTTCTATCAACATGGAAAATTAAGATCTCAGTCATTTTATTTATTATTGAATCATGATTGCACATTAAACTTATATGAAAACAAGGTGTTCTGCTTGTCAGAGTTATGTCTTCATGTGTGATACCTTCAGTAGCAGCTGGTATTTGGTGATTCTCTGGATTGGTTTGATGAGGAAGTCGCTGATGCTCAGTCTGGACTGGATCTCCTGCTGGATTCCCTGCAACACAAACACCAAACAGACTCGTAACGCCTCGGCTTCATTCACGTTAAACATCACATGCACCGGAGAACACAACATTCAACCGACTGAAATCCTCAGATGATGCACAAAACACTGCTCCAGAATCTATGAATCGATATAATTACAGGGCTGGAGGTCTCAGATGATGTAAAACCAGAAAAACAAAGTGACACAAAGAGTCGAAACTTCTCTCACATCAAAGTATGTGTCGTATTCTGCTACGATGAACTCGGACTTCGGCTTGTTCTGACAATAAACCACGTACATGTGGAGTCTTCTCTCCTGCAACACAGACACATGAGTTATTTAACCAAACGTATTAAATATATTGTTGAGTCGTCATATTGTCGCAGAGAGCTCAACTCACGTGTTTGATGAAGAGCTCCGGCAGGTGCTCGTTGTCCTCCAGACATTTCTCCAGCTCTCCTACGAAGAAACTGACAGAGACAGAAGATGGATGTTATTCATCAGCACCCGTCCCCTGTTCGGGCCCAGTCCCAGTGTTCGGACACCGATGTGGAGCTTACTCTCTGTGCCAGTCGAAGATCTGGTGGATGTTCCCGAAGACGATTTTGTCTTTTCCTTTCATGTCGTCGGGGAAGCCCTTCTCCTCGATTTTCTTCATGAAGCTCTGTGGGGTCAGAAGAGCTCAGTTAATGAAGATGATGAACAACACCAGAGCCACGGAGGAATATTCCATATCCAAGTACTCGGTAGAAGTAAAGCGAGCGTCTCACCTCCACCACGATGCCCAGATCTTTGACGTAGTCCTTCTCTGTCTGAATCAGCTCGTTCAGCACAAACCTGAGCAGAAGAAAACAGATCTCTGTTACACATCTGCTGGAGAGACAGCGAAAGACACAGCGCTTGTACATCTACTGGTAATACTACCTGATAAAAGCTGTAGTAGAAGTACTAAACAGAGGGCGGTAATGGAAACACGCTTCAGTACTCACATTCGTCCTCTCATAGCTTTGGCTATCTGCTCCAGCTCGGGGTTCCGCGGTTGGACGGGAGTGGTTTGTTCAGGCGGAGAGGGCAAGTTGAAACCAGGGTACGCTCCTGGCTCCAGAGTCTGAGGAGGAGAGAGGCGGTGTCATGAAGTCAGCCGCAAACTGAGCTGTTTAAATAAAACATCTACGCATCTCATTCTACAACATGAACAATGTTCTACATCCTCTGTCTTCAGACATTATGTCATCATGTCGTGACACAGAGGGCAGCAGTGTGTGTTCAGTGTTGAGTCCTTGAATATTAAACACGGAAATCTAAAGACGGAAATATTCAAACAACCACTGGACACAGATAACTACTGGATCACGATAAGTATATGATGTGTCTGTCTCTCAGGGGGACCCAAGGCTGCTTCACAGAGTTGGGAAAAATAAAATAAGACAAGGAATCTCATAGTTTCATACAGTTGATCCCAAAGTTCGACTCAAATACTTCAGATTATTGTCAAACAAAATGAAACTGAAATTACGACTCATCCTAAACTAACAGAAGAAAAATTACTGATACAAATTTGGATTTTAGCAACAATCGGAGTTTGTCAAATAAAAGTGACACGTCTAAATGATTGTGTAAATTAAAACAACGAGAGGGTTCGATCCTCGTCTCCCACGTTCTGCCTGTATCCCCTGAGGGCTGCGAGTGAATGAGTGACATGTGGTGGAGACACAATGAAGCACATTCAGGCCAATTACACAAACTACTAAAGACACAAACACATCACACCACCAATACGCACACAACATGCATGACTGGTGATACACTACACATATTTACTTTGGTGAAATGAGCCCGTACACTTCATGCATGATGTGTAAACTCCGTTCACACGCGTGTGTCCCAAACATGCGCACAATCCTACACGCACACTCACTCACCATCTTGGTTTTAACCAGTTTTTCTATGGCGCTAACCAGCTCTGCAGCGCTGGGCACCTCAGAGGACGACTGCAGAGACGTTAGCAAGGACGAAGACTGAGAGGAGGAGGAGGAGGATGGCGGAGAGCAGTGTTAGAGGGATTGGAAGGAGAGGAGAGAAGGTGGGGAGTCGTGAATAAATGAAAGGAATAAACAGCAGGGAAAGAGTTAGCAGAGTTAGCAGAGGAAAGCAGCAAACCAGAGCAGAGCTACAGATGAACATACTGCAGGATTTATATCAGAATTAAAATAGGAGAATTAATAGTCGACTGTGAAGCTCTGATACTGGAAACTACTGAGAAACTAAACCTAATCAAATAATAATGAGAAGAAGTTAAACAAGGTCTCTGATGGTTTTAAATGGGATAAATTCAAGACTTTTAAAGACGATAATGAACAAAATAAAAAGTAGAAGTCAAGATAAAAAATATCACCATTTGAGACTTCGCACAAACCAAAGTATGAAGTTGTTTCTCATCAAATCAACACAAACGAGACTGAACACAACAAAGTTTAGTCTTTGTTAATAAAAGAGGCAGAAGCTCAGTTGATCCACTCGGATGAAATAAATGAAATATATCCAGAGATGTGTTGAGATCACCTCCCCTCCAGCCCCCTCTCACCTTCTCATCCTGAGCTGAGGGGTCCTTGATGATTTCCATGGGGGGAGGCAGAGGAGTGTGGGCCTCCTCGTCCTGCTCCTCCTCGCCACCGCTCTGCATCCCAGAGGGCGTCTTAGAAAGGAGGTTACCGTCCTTACTGAGGACCCTCTGTGGAGGAGAGACACAGAATCACATCACCGATCAAACCGATTGATCGTAATGAAGCTTCTGATGAGTCACGATCACTCGGCCGTATTTATTTCCATTTAAACTTCCTCTTCCCTAAATTTCCATTGAATTACCAAATAAATGAGTAACATTGTGAGAAGATGAGTCATTTTCCTTTGTGAAGTTGTGATGAATCACAGATAAAAGACTCCTCGTGGTTAGAGTCAGACTTTATGAGTTAGTTCATCGGGTCGAGAAAGAAGAAGAAAGAAAATCCTCTGAACTTGTGAGCTAACGCTGAAAAACTCATTCCAATAAAAAACTTAATTTGAGCTTTGAACTGTTAAAACCGTATTTGTTTAATTTAAAAAGTTTAAATGGCAAAAGAACCATTAACAACAGAGGATGTGGAAATTAACAAAAGCTTAGGAGGTGTTTCATATCCAAGAACAAACTTTCTTTTGTTTCTTGTGTTTGTAAGACCTGTGTTGATTCTGTTTTAAAATGCAGCTGCTCACTGTGTGGCTGCAGAGGGCGCTGTTGCTCAGTTAAAGTAATAGTGCTGCTTTAATGTCAGCGGCCGTCAAACATTCACGCATCATTTACCACGTAAACAGCTGAAACCCGCTCTGTAGAATCTTGTTGTTTACCTCATCGATGTTGTCGTCCTGCAGAGCGAGGTCGGGCTGTCCGAGGTCGACGCTCTTCCTGTTTTCCTCTCTTCCGGATCCTGGACCTGTCAATCAGTCCAACACGTCGTTAGTCACGTCAATCACAGAGACGTCAAAACACAGCGGAATCACTGGGTTCAAGGATGAACGATGTGTTGAGCAACAAATGAAATTAAAAAAACAAACTTCTGCAGGTTAGACATCCTGATTTTTGTCCTGATGAGTCTAAAACGACAGAACACGTTTACCTTTATTGGTGTTCTGTGTTACGTTAGTGTTAATTACACGTGTGTGAGCAGGAACTTAGATGTGTGACGTTCCGTGGCGTCTGTAAAGTTCCAGTGCCTGATCTTAACGACACTTGTGTGAAAACATGAATGCAATGCTGCTGAGCAAAGAGACACACGTTCCATGGTGTCAGTGGCATGTCATCACCGCCGTTGTGTACGTGTGTTTGCGTCTCACCCGTCTTCTTCTGTTTGTTATTGGGGAGCTTCTTGACGGAGCTGCCGTGGCTGAGGCGGCGGACCGGGCTGGTCAGCCATTTTCTCAGAGTGTTTCCGGAGCGTTTGGGTCCCGGGGAGCTGGACTGCAGGGAGATGAGGGACGGCTGCGGCTGCAGGTTGGCCACTGACTCCGTCTTCCCATCGGAGCTGCTGACTGGATAGTTTTCTGAAAGAATAAAATCACATTTTAAACAGATGTCACCAGGCCCCCTCGCAAATACACGTTTCAGCTCAACAGACCCACATGAGTTCCTTTATGACTAAATCTGGTCAGCAGCTGCTCTCATGTCACACACAGGCCTCAGCTAATAACACTGTCGAATCCAACACACAGGATTAGAGATGAATTCCCTCTTTCCCTGCTGCTGCGCTGTGATCGTTCAGAGTTCTGTTCATCCTTTAATACTTCGATGTCAATAATATGAGGAAATACGAGTTTCAATTCCAACATTTCAGCCGAGAGGCATGAAGTTAAAATTTAACCAGGAAGCAGGAAATAAATATCATCGCACACATTCTTTCACTGACATTAAAATCACATATTTAGAATCACAGAGAGTAGAATCAGTTCAAACACTTTGAACCAGTTTGTCTTGTTGTCATCCTACAGATTCCAGAGAGAAAGAAAGCTGTGTGTGTGTGTGTGAGAGTGTGTGTGTGTGTGAGAGTGTGTGTGTGTGTGAGAGTGTGTGTGTGTGTGAGAGTGTGTGTGTCAGTAGTCATGTGTCAGGAGAGCGGTGGATCAGCTGCACTCACACACAGCTGGGAGCCATTGTTGGCGGATGCTGTGGGGTTGTGGAGTATAAATGTGTGTGTGTGTGTGTGAGAGGAAATGAAAGGTTAAAGGTCGGCAGTTCTCCTCTACTATGGGTGTCTCACTCATTCTTTTTATTTACCTTCAATTCTCTTTGTCTTCATCTCTGATCTGCTTTTTATTTGACTTTTGTCTTCAACTTGTACCAAAATAATCTGCTGAGCTTCAGACACCAAAGAAAAAAAACATGATACTGTTGATAAACTTCTCTGCACAACCGACGGTAACGTCACTTTCACTTCCCCCGATCTGGCAGAACGAGGCGGAGCAGGTCAAAGGTCAGCGGTGCCAACAACAATCAGTAAAACCAAGAAATATTAACCCACGGTGGTGATATCAGCTTCTAACGCTCATTTAGTTTTTAGATTTCCTTTTTCAATCCATTTACTGTTTATTAAACATAAATTAAATATGGTTTGTTTATTTGAATAGTGTCTGAATAGAATGTTTTCCTCATATCTGTGTCTGACTGAGACTTTTCCCGACATCCACCTCCATGTTGTGCAGCCCTGCGGGTTAATGAGTCAGTGTTAGTGGTAGTTTAAGTTGTTATCAGACTGTGTCAGCAGCGAGCTCCAGATAAAACTCTGCAAAACAGCAGCCAAGGTCACGCTCTCTTACTGAGGTGCTGTTTCTCTCATGACACACAAAAACATGGTGCACAGAGTGCGGCGCACTGCTGCTGGATATATATACTCGTTAGTTGTGTGCATGACCTGTTGTGTACATGCAAATGATATTGGGAATACTACAATAGTCAATTAATTGTAATAGATGTGAAGGTGAAACCTTACAGAGGACATGCACACACCAAAGGCCACAGTGCATTATGTACAACTGTATTTCTTCATCTGCATTTATTATTTCTTGTATTTCAGTACTTTGGAACTCGACTGACCGATTGTTGCTCTTAATTGAAGTTTGACTTGATTCTGCTCAGGAGTGATTAATGTAAAGTGGCTCGTTCCTTTTCCTCGACTCTCGTTGATGCTAATTTAAATGAGTTTGTCGTGTTTTCATGGGACAGAGACGTCAACCAGCTCCATCAGCTCAGTCCGTACTGAAGTTAATCAAACACCTGGATTCCTCCTGAATCTTCACACCGCTTCAGCCACATTCTCTCGCTCTCTTCTTTTGACATCTGTTGTCACTCAGTCCCACAGTTTCACTGGTTACTCGCTTAAGTGCTATTGAGCAAATTCAGCCATGTGAGGGAAACACGTCATAGGTCATTTCTTCACGTGTGTGTGTGTGTGTGTGTGTGTGTTTTCAGTAGATTCAGTGAGTGGCCTTGACAGCTGGCTGACCACTGAAACTCATTAAGGAGTTAAGAGCGCAGAGAAACTCTAACACACACATTCTCACACACAGCTGACTGATACGACGTCACTGCTTCAACCTCTCCTCCTCCTCCGTAATGAGGCAGAACCAGAGCGTGCTGCAGTCAGCTGATCACCACTCACACCTGTTAAAGTGCAACACCGTACCTGATTCCTGGCCTCGGAGACGACAGCACGACGCTAAGTGACTGAAGTGTGGAGTTTCAGACACATCCGAAAAAGTGACTATACTCAAAAACATTAAGAATAAAAATCCAGCGCACACCAGGATTAATTATCATTCTGCACCGGAGTGAATCTGGAGAAGCATTTTGTGAAACAAGTTGTTTCGCTCCTTTTGTCGTTTTGTTTCTTGAATAGTGTCAATGCTGGCATCCTGGTGTTCGAGCGCCCCATCTAGAAAAACACGGCCCGACCCAGGTGCCGATGCGTCATTTGGAAAGTTGCAAAAACATCCAGTGCACATCTGTTCTGCAGTAAACAAAAACAAATCCAAAAAAAGATCTTGACACAACGAGACAACCAACAACCAAACTAAATGTAGGAACATTTTTAAATTGAGACCACACAACAGAAAGCACTGGCAGAATCAAGACACTGGGCACAACGATGTTTCAGCTTCAAAAAGCAGAATTCCAAACTTCCCAGTCTTTGTTTTATTCATTTAAGGTTAAACTAAAAAGAGTTGTTAATGCAGATTCATGTTCATTGTCATCAAACTACTTAAAAGTCTTTTACACGTGGATCAGAACAAAGAAAAACTACAAACACTGTGTCATTTGTAGAAGAACCAGACAATCGGCCCTCGATGTGTCTTTGTCTCACATTCCACATTTTCAGTCACGATAAGCAGAAGGAATGAAGAGACGACCTGACGTGACACAACCTCACACGTGCCTTTTATTGGACGTCTTGAGTTGTTGCAGAAACCACCACAGCTCATGTCTCTGGCCTGACATCGTTCAGTTTAAAGACCCTTTAAGAAAGCTCACTAACATCTGTCTGCAGTGGGAAAGAACACAATCTGCATTCACTCCCGGGTCGATCGGTTCCGATCGGCAGTGACGGAAACATGGCACTCGGAGGGGGGGGGGGGACGTGCCAATTTCTTCTTTTCCAGCACAAAGTAATGACACCCATCACACTCAGCACGGAAATACCCATGAATGTTTGTGCAAGTTTAGTTTTTCTGCATCTGTGTTTTGGAATTTAAAAACTGGTTTGTGTTACGTCTCGTATTTTTGTATTTCTTCCCGACAGCGACACACAAACTGCGTTAGTGCTTTTATAACAAGTGAATTGTGTGTGTGTGCAACAGAAGACTGCAGTGTCACAGCGATGGGAAGAGTCAGGTGAGACCAAACAAGGAAGCTCTTGTTCTGCAGCCGACAGTCGGTCTACTGTTAAAATCCACATCACTCACTATCTTTAATCACACACGCACAGACACACACAATGAATGGTTCTATTGACGAGAGCATAGTGAATCTCAGAACCATTGAGCTCTGCACACATGCACGCACCATCGCTCCTTTTTTTAAAATACTTGACTTCATGTTGTTTTGTCTCGTGTGTCCGCGACCATTTGAAACTAGAGAGTCACTCAGCAGACCTCAGTCCCGTATATTCGAATCAATAATGTGTATAATGTGTTTCACAGAGAATAAACAAAGTACTGTCATATTTGTACATGTGAAAAATATTGAACACTGTAAATGTCTTTTCATCGAAGCGCCTTCTCTCCTCCCATCATGCTTTTTGTCAATGACGAGAAGAGACAGTAATCTGGGAAGATTACATTCCTCTCATACCTCTCTCTCTCTCTCTCTCTCCTGTGCCGTACATATCCGACGACATGCTCAACAACACAAACTACACAAACCTAATGACTTCTGATGGTGACTGTGTTACTACGCTAACACTCTATCGATGAGACGGTTCGGTTTCATTCAGTGAGAAGCTAATGTCGAGTTTAGCTGCAGTGCGAGACGACAGTAAGGTTCAAAGTGAAATCAGTAAAGATAAAAGCTAATGTTTCTTCTTTCATCTCTGTCTTTTCCTCTTCATTTTACACTCCTGTCAAAATGACGATTTATTGTAGAGGACTTTGTGATGAAGGTCAAGACGTGAAGCGACGTGTAAAAACGGAGAATTGTTTGCGTGCGAACATCTGATTTTGTCCCTCCGGGTCCAAAGGAAGTTACAGATTCACTTAAGACTTCACAATATCACGAGCAGGTTACGTAAGAGGCTGTTTCATTGGCGTATGAATTACATCACAACACAATCAACAGTTGTAGAACAATTAGTCATACTACAAGGAAACACACTCGTTCCCAGGGTTCTCTGTTAGAATATCAAACAGGCGAGAGTCGTCTCGTTACAGAAATCATCCGCCGCCAGGCGCCACATTCAACACTTCAATAATATTCAAGAAAATAAAAGTCGTAGTCTCAAAAATCACTAAATTATCTCGTAGGTTTTCATTTTCGTTCATCAACAAGTCAGCGTGGTGAGTAAGCAGCGTGTTCATGAAACACATCGTAACTAACTCAACCCCCGTCCGTCCACTTCAGTCCAGAGTTCTCAATATCTCAGTAAAAGCTGCTCTCAGGTTGATGAAGCTCAGAAAAGACCAAACGTTAGAAAACACTTTTTGGGAACTTGGTGATTTAGGTGGAAATACCCACAGAGGTAAATCAAAACTGAAACTGGAAGATGTTATGATCTAGAGGCACAAATGAGGAAATTTAGACGACTTACTTCTTGAAAATTCTAACTTTGGGCAAAATATATATAAATCCAATATTAGATTCTGTTTATCAACTAGTCAGCTCAAATTAGCTGCAATTTAACTAAGAATTTTTTTTTTTTTTAAATCACTTTCTTTAAAATTGTGAGACAGGAAAAAGAAAATGTTTTGTTTGATGCGATCAAATCAAACCTTTTTAGAAACTGATCGGTTGTGTTGTTCTGCTGCTGCTGAAACGTCGCTCCTCGTCACTGTGACCACACGTCCCCGATAAACTATTAAAGAACTGGACCTCATTTAAAACGGAGCTGAATGAACTGAATCACAGCTGATGAAGCAATGTGGAGTTAATGCTGTTTCAACAGTCACCTCCTCCATCCCTGCGGGTGAGGAGGTGCCTCCGTGTGTAAATGTGATTGTGCCTCATGAAAAACAAATGACTGAGTCTTTCCTGACGCCAGAGAGAATAAATGCAGCACTTCACACAAACTGTACGAACTCTGCTTCACAGCGGGACTGAAGGCTGATGCACGCCTCGACAGACTCATCACAGGAACCAGTCGAACCAGCCGAGCTCCGATACTCACACACGACGTCACGATTATTAAAGGTTTTACATATTTTGAAAATAGGATGGGCCATCGAGGGGAATGCTCTGCATGGGAAACAGAGAAGTGGGATCAGGGGGACGTTTCGTTTTCTGAAAATTTTCCTCGTGCAGCTTCACAGGAAGCCCCGGCGCTGCAGATGCAGTTTGATGACCCGTGACAGTGACCTTCTCTCAGTGGGACCTTTGGGTGCGCCCTCACGAGCCCTCGAGTTGGAAACAGTTTTTGTCACAGGTTCAAACACGTCCATTGAAACCAGTGAAAACTGTGCAGATATATCAGCGAAACCAGCGTAACCAGTTCAGCTACATACTTCAGCCCGTGCAACCGCTGACAAGTTCAGAGACCCGGGGGCCAAAGTCCAGCGTCCGTCCACACACAGAGAGCGCAGTTAACGTTTAGCTAACGATAGCTGGATGCTAATCTGCACATACACACGATGCATGTGCTCTTAGAGCTGCAGGCCACGGAGAAACAGCAGACTTGTTTTCACCTCGCCTAAAATACCAGGACTCTCTGCGTTGTGTTGCTCAAGACAATCAAACCATTTCAAAAACCCAGCGGCCTCAGTGTCTGGTTGTAGGAGTTCTCACAGTCGATGGCGCGGCCTGAAGTGAGCGAGAAGTAATGTGAGCTCTCTTCACCGAACAAAAACATTTAGAAGAGATTCTTCAAAAAAACCTCACCAGTTCAGAGCTGCACCAAAACTCATCACGAATGATCTCCTCCAAAATATGCATAGTGAGTTTGGACGGACTCTCCTCCAGACACGAAAACCACAGGATTGGGTTTGTCGGGGGAGCTGGGGCATCAAAACCCAATGCACATCTGGAAAACCTTACAGATTACCTAACTAACCATTCCCACTGTTCTTCAATGATGGAGACATACGTATCTGACTGATGGAGACAAAAATCTATATATCGTGATTTGCATTATAGATATTAAAGTATTTATTGAATTCTATAAGCAGTAATACTCGGTGGCTACAGCCACTGGACCTTCAGGATTTTTAGTTTAGTCTGAACCAAATGGTTTGAGAGGTGCTGTCCAAAAAGAGGTGGTCTGGGTCCAGATCAAACTGAACCATGGTTTGGTTCATTGGCAACGTGACTTTTGGACCAATCACAGGAAGTTGAGACAACATTAAACAAAAGAAGAGGAAAAAGAAGCTGAAGCGGCGGCAGGATCACCACAGTCTTTACCTCCTTGAACGAGCAGGAGGTTCGTTACGCTTCATTTACTTTCCTACATTCAATCTAAACTACTACCTGTCAAATTAACAACACGAGGACTGATGATGACAAGACGAACGTATGTCCGATGCAATTCTTAAACGAATGACGCTTGGTTCTGACATGAGCATTACTCCCTGTGCTCCCAATCAGGTGCTGGTCGATGGAAGGATCGAAACGAACGAGCAGCTTCACTGTTGCTTTAAGTGTGAGGAGCCAACAATGTGTTTCATCTGTGGCTCCGACGTTTGCTCTTAATTAAAGTCACAGTGAAGTCATTTCACTGCGCGGAGGCTAATTCTGATCTGCAATCGTATGAATGAATGTTTTGTGATGAAGACTCTTTTATGACAACAAAGTTCTGTTGTCATAACCGTGCAGAGAAGACAAACAACCAAAGCTGTGATTTTCTGGGAGGAACAGTCTCCCTGGAAATGACTTATTTTCTGCACACACAGGAATCGTACAGCTCTGAAGGTCTAAGGTTGTTCTTTGTTTGAATATGTCATAAAGAAGTGAGGCAGCGGAGGAGGCTGCGTTCACGGGTTCCACTACATTCAAACAAACGATGTGTCATGTAGAAATTCGCGAAAACTTGATTTTGGGAAAAAGCTCTACTCTGAATGAAGCTCCCTGGAAACCACAGCAGCTGAGTGTGTGGGGAGTGATCGGCTGAAAACAAAGATTACTGTAATGACTCCGGTGAAGTCAAGTACTTGGTCAAAGGCTCTGTCATAACCTGCTGCAGGACACACCCACACTTCTCAATCCAACAGACACAAAGAGAGAAACTGTCCTTTTCTCCGAGTGTCTCTCTCACTTCCCATCTACTTCTCTCTCCCTCTGTCCGAGTGACACATTGCTTCCTGTTCGACGATTCATTTCCAACACGTCAGAATTTCAGAAAGAGAAAAATTGAAAGAACAAGAAACCTGTTCACTGCCTCAGCACACACACACACACACACTTTCAGAGCATGTGACACAGTGAACAAAAGTGACATCAATTACAAACATGATCCTCACACACACACACACACACACTGTCCATCCCGTCCCACCTTTACCGTTGTAGCAGCAGCAGCAGCAGCGAGCG